TTTACGTGACTGTTTGTAAGTATTTTGCATGTTTCCTTTTGCTCTTCAGTCAAACGACTTGTCAAACCTGGTCCGTGATGATATAAAAAACGAAGATGCTTGTGATTGCCATTTTTTAAACGAAGCTGCCAAGTTCCATTTGAGTTTTTGTACCTCATATTCGGAAAGGACATTTACACTTCTTAGTCCCAAACCTTCAACAATTTTCTAAATATAATTTATTTTTGGGTAAATTACAAACACCCCCCGGGGTATGGTCAAATTACAAAAACCCCCCTCTTGTTTGGATAATTACATCTACCCCCTCAACTATGATTTTTTCTTAGACCTCCACCTTTATGGCGCCAAATTCAACATAGTCATCTAGATTCCGTGAAATGTGCTCTAGTTTGTACTCTTTTTGTGTAAAAAATACAGTTTCTGATGCACCACAAACTGATATATACAAGCTAAAAATCACATATTATGATCATCTTGCTTCATAATGTAGAGTTTGAATGGGATAAAACGGGTACAAAAGTGATAATATTCCATATAATCTCGAAGATTCCACTAAATTTGATGAGTTGAGGGGGTGGTTGTAATTATCCAAACAATAGGGGTGTTTTTGTAATTTGACCATACCTCAGGGGGGTGTTTGTAATTTACCCTTTCTTTTTTGATCGGCTCTCATAAGACCTTGAATACGTAATATATACACTATGAAAACCCAATACCAATATATAGTTATGACTAAGATTAGTTTCTTTCACCCAGTCAACCAATTCTTGAGAACATTCGAACATAGTAGATATCTGAAAGTACTCCCTGGAGTCACGAATCTCGAACATCTCAATTTTATCATCAACATTTATGTTATCATCAAAACAGGTATGCCCTAAGAATATAATAAATCTATATCTATATCTATATCTATACTACTTATAAAAGTGGGAATAATAGGGTGGTTTCTTCCATTTTTTGATTGTCCTAAAATACCCTCGAAAACAACCAATAGCTAAAGGACACATCAAGGGTAAAAATAAACTTCTACCTTATAATAATAATAATAATAATAATAACAATAACAATAATAACAATAATAATAGCAATAATAACAACAATAACAATAACAATAGCAATAACAATAATAATAACAATAATAATAATAACAATTATTATGTAAAATAATTCAATTATCTTATTAAAAAGATCATATTTTAAAATTGAATAAATATTGTCTTCCATTGGTAATATAGATGTACTAACATAAAAAGCTATTTTTTATTGACCAAATAAAATTTACCAAAAACTAAACATTATATTATTGAACAAAAAAACTAATAAAAAACTGTATATGCACGCATATAGATATTGAACAATAATAATTGCAAAATATTATTAAAAAAATCAATGATTTCCAAGAAATCAATGAATAATAAATTGTATTCTTAATTATTTAAATATATTTTAATTCATTAATTTCTTAAAGTATCTAATTACTCATAATATCTAAATGTATATTTTCAATATATGTCCAATAATTTAATTTTATTTACTTTTCAACTTTATATAAAGAATAAGAATTGGTTTTTATGTTATAATTATTTTATCTAGGAAATATAATATTTAAATTTTAAATATATTACATCGAATTTTTAATTAATTAAATTTATAGCATCATTTTTTGATTATTTTTATCCAATAAAAAATGAGATATGTTAATGGTATTATTATATTTTAATATTACGATACAAAATAAATTATGCTTGAGGGGGTAATTGTTACAAATGATACTTTAAGGGGTAAGTGTTACTTTGATTAGAATTTGGACAATCATCAACGATAAATACGATTAATTATTATACAGACATAAATAAAAGTAACCGACTTCGTTTAGGACTTAATAAGAATTTGGACAGTCAGCAAATAAATATATAAAAAGAGAATGATGCAAGATTACTTGCTCTTGCTCCATTCGTTTATATTCATTTGATAGTATAATAATTATTAAACTGTTGTATTTAGATCTTCGCTCGGTAATTGATAAATATCTTCATGCATGTTGAAGTGGAATACATATAATTTTATCTTCTATAATCATAAATCATCACATGTAAGTTTTGACAAATGTATCTCATTGAAAAAGTTATTTTACATCATCGATACGCACTATCACTTTCTACTAGACTTTTCTAAATTTTATACTGCATTTGGTTGAATGGATTAACTTTAGTTGAAGATTATAAATAGAAAGTTCGGATGATAATAAATTTCATACTGTAATAGTTGAATTCGTCTTTTAATTTCTATGTTGCTACCACCTATATTACTGGTATCCGATGTTGTTGGGGAAAGGAATTTTAAATTCCATAGTCTACTTAAAAATAAAAGACTTAGATGATAATAAATTTCATTGTGCAGTTGAATTTGACTTTTAATTTCTATGTTGCTACCATCTACAATACTGGTTTCTTATATTGTTGGGATGGGATCTTAAATCCCATAGTCTATTTAAAAAAGATTTATTGCATTCAACATTACTTTATTTTATTTTTATTATTGAAAATTTCTTTAGGTTATTTTATTGGCATCAACTTTCCTATAATTAATTTGTTTTAGTTTTATAAAAGTGAGAATATATAGAGGAGTTTCTTCTATTTTTCTATAGACAAAATACCCTTGGAATTAAATTTGTAAAATAATTCAGTAAATACAAATTAATTAGCAAATAGAAATTAATTAAGTTAGCATGAACATGAATGTTTCTTCTATTTTTCTATGGACAAAATACCCTTGGAATTAAATTTGTAAAATAATTCAGTAAATACAAATTAATTAGCAAATAGAAATTAATTAAGTTAGCATGAACATGAATATAGTAATCGGGGGATTATATTTTGTTTGATTCAAGGGTACAAAAAGAACAACTCTCACTTAGAGAGATTTTCATAAAACTACCATTTAATTGGCTACTTAGAGCGTATATAGGGGAAGAAGAAGGTCTTGTAGGACTAATTGAAATTTCGTGTAAATAGGGACATAAAAAAAATATTGCGTAAACAAATTAAAAACTACCATTCGTAGAGTGTATTATTCGATTTCAAAGCAAATCTTCACGTGACTACCATTCAAGAAGGTCTTATAGGATTGAGTGAATTTTTTACATTGAAGGCTCAGTTCAGTTACTACTTGCATTTAATCATACTTTCATGATCTTTTTTTTTTGGGTAATTATTTTTGAAGTAGACTCATCTAATTATTTTTTCGTAAAATTAATTTTCTATTATTTTAAGAAAAACTTGAAAAAAATGTTTACAATCCATGTAGTAAAGGAATTTAAATAAAGACTAAAAACTAATAACATCTGAATTGTAAATGTATGCCTAAAATAAGTTCACTTTATTATTCTTGTAATATGTGTATGTGTATATGCATCTAAAGTGTACTCATAATGATTTTTGCACAGAGAGGGTATAATCAATTTTTTCTCTCCAATTGTTTCTAATTCAGTCTTCAGATAAATCACCATGTTAAATAAAAACAAATATAAATAAAAATAATTGATCGTATAAAATTATTTTGACTTAATATTGCAAATCGATTAAATATAAATGATGATGGTAGAATTTGCAAATACGAGTGTAAACAAAAGTTGGTTAGTTCAAAGAGGATGAATAATAAATATTACAATAATATATAACTTTATGTTATGAAGAGAAATCACTTATGCAAATTCAACAACAAATATGAAGATTTGTTTTATTTATTTTTCTTTGGAACTATGTGCCAACTCAAGATCAAGCAAAATAATATAACAGCAAAATTTACATTCAAAATATAAATTCGAAATTGTATAATTTTTAATTATATATATAGTGTTGTGGAATAATCTTCAGTATTTATATTTTTATTAAATAATTTTTATAGTACCGCTGTTAATTTTAATCGAATAAATTATTAATTAATAAATATATAAATAATTAATAAAAAACATGAATCACGTGCAAACGCACGTGTCACTTACTAGTACACATAAATATACAAAAAATGTAACTAAGGAATAGTTCAACTAAAGCATAAAAATGAATACTTCCGTCTGCATTAAATGTTCCAGAAATAAAAAAATTGCACGATCTTCGCTCAAGTCAGTGCCTCAAACTTTACATTTTTGTTCAAATTTGGCGGGAATTTCGAACATGTGATTTGCAAATCATTCTCTGAGGGGTAAAATTGTAAAAAAAAGAAATTCTCCAGCTTGTTATTTCTTTCTTATTTTCTCTTTCCACCTCAATTGCTTCCACTTCAACCAACATCTCTATTATTCAAAAGCAAATAGATGAATAATAAGATTACGCATCGAGGGGTTGGATCCAACGAGCTCGAATACGTTGTCGTATTAATTCAATCATAACACTGTAATACAAAAAATACGTGTATAAAGTTTCTCTAATATGTAGAAATTAAAATCTGAAAAACATTGTTACTGCAATGGCAAATCAATCAGTTAGAGATGGAGGTGAAAGCAGGAACTTGGGCAAAATATTTTGAAGCTGAGTTTCTATGATTTCGAATTAATTACACCAAAATATTATTCTCCGAGATCGAGCTCTAATTTTATTTGGAGCCTGGATTCTTAGTTATATTTTCTAGAAGCCATTTTCTTAGAGTCCAATTTTATTATTTGGCATCGAATTTTTCTAAGTACGCATGCGTCTTATGAAAGCTCGCGCAATTGCCTTGCGCTTTTGATGTAAAAAATGTGTGCTGAAGATTCTTAAAAAAATAATGCTATCAATTGTTGTTAAATGTATGAGTATTTTTTAGAACGTTATAAACAATACTGTATAACCATTATTCCTAAACGATTGATTACAAATATCGCAGAATGCAAAGATACGATCACAAATTCTTAACCAATCAAATTGATCTTATCAATCCTGCCACTTGCCACTGTACATGAAACAATCAAGTTAATTGCTCTTTACAGATGAAGTCTATATTGTGTTACGTAACAGAAACTTGTTTGAATGACTGTTAAGCATACGACCACCACGACCTCGACCTGTAAACGATGATGAAATCTAGAACTATTTAAATATATATTTCAAAGTCTCGTGTACAGAGCAATTAATGGGAATAATCCAATAATTTCTCGACACTCTGTCACGGCATAAAACGAAAACCAAAAAACCCGTAGCAGTACTATCAAAGCAGAAGTCGTCGTATATCACATATACAAATTTAAGAGCATAATAAACTTTAGATATCAAATTGCATACCTAGGTGGTCCGAGACTTCTCGAAACATGCTAAAGGGCTGCTCCATCGGCAAAACATAATAAATTAAATAAATAAATCAAGATTAAATATGAAATCGGATGATTAAAAATGAACCACATACCCATATTAGAAAACATTATAAACAAGTTAGTTACCTCTACGCAAGAACCAGGCCGAAGAAACTATCACCGCAACATATAAAAGCGATCCTACAAAAGTCAACACGAAGAATAACCCATGATTCGTTCCAAAATCCTCGATTTCACGTACAAGGGTATCCTCAATTTCAACAACTCGAGCTCGAGCGGAATGAATTTCGATAGTGGCTTCACTTGGGCTCATAAGAAATCCGTTATAAGGCTCCCGTAGCTCTTCCCGAAGATCTTCGGCCATCTCCCTCAACGCGATTCTACGCATTCTGATTAGGCTCCGACGCGTTCGCATTCTACCTAACTTCAAATAGCAAGCGATTTCCACTTTAAAAATATCCGAGATAAACGGGACCGACATTGTAATCATTAACGAGAAATACTTGACTTCGTCGAAAAGAAACAGCCCGACGACGGAAGTTCCTACGGTTATCAAACCACGAAGGGCGATTTTCTTCAGCAGTTTCTTCAATTTCTTGTGGGATTTTTTATTGATCTGCATTTCGACGCAGTAGAGAAGATTCCTGTTCAATTCTAATCTTTCTATTGATCGCTTTTCCGAATTGGTGACGCAATCTGCACAACAGCAAACCCTAATTTTATTTTTTAGGGGAAAATCGAGTGATTAATTTTACACACTGTCAGGTATCAATTTCCGGCTGAAGCACAAAATTTAAATGAAGCGGTAAAAAAAATTGATGAAAAGTATTGGACACGGAAAATTTGTTCATATTTGATCATTCATCATATTTGTTGTTGTTACTTGTTAGTATTATAATTTACACGGAAAATTATTGCTTTGAAGTGTTACTCGAATTAAAGAGTAAAGTGAAGATTATACTATAATTTTATTTTATTTTTACACTTGAAAATTTATAATTTGACGTGTAATTTTAAATGATACAATGAGAGCCCGTCAATTAAAAGTTACAACTATTAAGTTACATTGACAATAATAGCCAATAGGTACTAGTTAGACGCTCTTTTAACAAAATTCTTATTAATTTACTTAGACATGGCCACGGGTCGGGTCGGGTCCGGGTCCGGGTCGGACCCGCCGGGTCCGGGTCCGACTTTTCGGGGACCCGAAACCGACCCGCGGGGAGGCGGGTCCGGGTCCGGGGCGGGTCCATCCGGGTCCGGTCCGGGTCCGGGTCCAACCCGGTTTTTCAATTTTTTTATTTTTTTTTTATTTTTTTTATTTATTTATTTATAAGAAAGGAAAAAAAAATTATATTGAAACTTGAAAAAACATGAGATTAACTTTAAATTCAAAATAAATAAAAATAATTCAATTTAAACACTAAACAATTTTAGAAAAAAATGAAACGATTAAGACTTTGAGACATAAACTAAATAAAATTAAAGTTGTGAAGATTGAATTATGGGTATTTATAAGTGAAAGTAATAAGTGAGAAATTTTTCAAAATTTCAAAATTCAAAAAATATCAAAATTCAATCTTTCTTTTAAATTAATTAAATCGTATTTTTTTTATATTTTTCAAAATTAAATATATATGCATTTGTTACTAGTCGAGATTTTTGATATTAATAATTTATAAATATTAATAAGTTCTTGTCAACAATTTAGGTTAATCGATTTAAATTTGTTACTAGTCGAGATTTATATTTTTAATTAATCATCTTATGATAAGATACTCAATAATATTAATAAGTTCTTGTCAATAATTGAGGTTAATCGATTTAAATTAATTGAAATGAGTTATAATCTATTTTTTAAAATAAACATATTATTTTATTTTTCATTCGATTTTTTCACACGATCGATTTTAATAACATAAGTTAATTTGTAATATGTCAACGCATTTGTTTATATATTGAATTGATTCAATACTTTATATTTTTCACTAGTGGAGATTACATTGATATAGTAATTAATAATAGATGTTTTGATGTATTGAACCGTGATTCTATATATTTTTTTAAAAGTTTCTTATATTGCATTTGTTAATTATTTAATTAAAATTATTTAATAATAATTAATATGAGAAATTTTTCATAATTTCAAAACTAATTTTTTTTTTCAAAATTCAATCTTTCTTTTTAATTAAATCGTAATTATTTATATATGCATTTGTTATTAGGGGGAATTTTTAAATATATATGTATTTGTTATTAGGTGAGATTTTTAATATTAAAGATAATGAACCTGACAATTAATAATTTATTAACATTAGTTATTCAATTGTTATAATTATTTTATAGTATTATTTATAAGTATATATTTATAGTTAAGATTAATATTGCAGTAAGTAACTTTGCCCGAGTGGTTAGTGCTTACTAAACCACTCGGGCTACCCGGGTTCGAACCCCAAAAGTTGCTTTTTTAATGAATATTTCATTAAAAATCCAGGGTCGGGTCCGGGCCGGGTCCGGGTCAGACCCGGCCCGTGGCCATGTCTAAATTTACTTATACAAAGCTAAAGCTTGCAATCAAATATTATTATTTCTTTAAATTAGAAGTAACTCTCTCCTGCATCTGGTGGTAAATACTGAGTGGATCTTCTGCTGCCATGTGTCTTTTTTTTATTTTTCTAAAATTTCTAAAGGTAAACCCTAGCGGGGAATATGTTATAAAATACAAAAAAAGACACGTGGCAGTAGAAAATCCACCCGGTGTTTATCACCGGGTGTAGGGTCGAAGAAGTCAATTTTATAGGGGTGAGTAAAGAAAAAACAGTTAATTTTATCCTTAAAATAAGGGGTAAATTACAAAACCCTCCTAAACTTAGGCTAGATAACAAAAAACACCCCCACTTATTCGTAATTACCAAAAAAAACCCTAAGTTTTGTTTCTATCTTACACCAACACATTACTGTGTGACTTTTCACGGATTTTTTTTTTTTTAATTCCGGGGAATAGACTTTACGCAATTTCAGATATTTTCTTTTATTTCTCACCTATTTAACAGAAGGTATAATTGATTGTGCAAATTTTCTGTTAAAAACTCGATCAACACTTAATCGGGGGAGTTGGTTATTATGGATTGATGGGGGTGTTTTTCATTATTTAGTCTAAATTCAGGGGTTCATAATTTACCCCTAAAATAAACTACATCTTATTTTTGTTACATAAGAAGTTTTATTGTACAAATAAAATATATATATATACACATATATATATATATATATATATATATATATATATATATATATATATATATATATATATATATATATATATATATATATATATATATATATATATATATATATATATATATATATATATATATATATATATATATATATATATATATATATATATATATATA